GCCTGGTTCTTGTGTGTACATGGCAGCACAGGGTCTAGCACAGTCTGTCGCGCCAATCAGCTTATGCATATGCTGGTGGTTGCAATTGCTGGGTCAGTTCTATTTCCAGCCCTGTCTTCCACATGAACCAATGGCTGTTGCAGTCAAACCTGGTTCTGCCCAGCACACACATGGCCCTCACGCAAACCCATGGGAGCTGCAGCCTAGTTGGGGCAGCTCCCAATAACCTCCACCAGACCACTAACCTGGTTCCTATGCTTGCCAGTATGTACAGCAGAATGGTCCTGTCTGTCCCACATCCCATTTAGCTCTTATACATGTCACTGGGCCTTGAAGCCTAGTTCAACCCAATCAGCCCCACCATCCAGCTCACACACATGCTGTTGGGTGAGGTTCTCTGTTCAGCCATGTCTGCCCCTGTCCTGGTTTTCATGCTCTCCAGTGGAGTGATAAGCCAAGAGGGAGGTGCCCACTATTTCCCTACTGGGCCACTCCCACTCCCTGAATATGTACTCTCTAGGGGATTCTGAAGCCTACCTTGACAGAATTAGATTCCAGTGCCAGCCTCTGCCTGCTGATGCTGCGACAAAGCCCAACAAACCCTCACCCACTCTGATTTATAATTGCGCCAGTAGGAACAGTCAGCCCAGCCTGGCTTTTCCCTGATCTAGCTCACATGAGGCCCACAGATGTTGTAAGTTCTGCCTGATCTGGTCTGCCCCACATGCCAACTCAGCTCTCCAGTGGGAGTGGCTGTCCAGCAGGGGAGCCCTCCACATTCCCCCTACTTGCTTTGCCACTCCCCCCTTGGCTTTCACATGTGGTGGTTGGGCACTGCACCCTGTCTAGCATGGTCCCTTTGGCATTTGCTACTGGGTGCTGTACCATGGCTCAGCACAGCCCACCCAAATTCCAGCTCACACTGGAGAGAGTTATAGCCTAGCCCAGTCCAGTTGGCAACCCATACTAGCTGTACTGTGTACTGGTATGTGTTGCGACCAAACCTGACTCAACCCACACTCTGCTCTGGTGCTTGGATTTTCCAGTGGGTTATGTGAATTGGTTCAGCCTGGTCTGCCCCCTGGCCTATGCCAGATGTATGCCTGTGGGTACCTTTCCTTGACCTTGTCTGGGCTGCTCCCTATTGTGGTTCTTGTGCTCACCTGCAGAGATTGTGTCTCAACAGGAGTTGCCCCAGCGACTTCATCAGAACTTCTCCCAATGCCAGATCTTGTGTATACCAGTGGGTCCATGAGCCAGCCCTACTCAGTTCACCTCCTGTCCTGGCAGGAACAGTGGCCTTTCCTGACTGGCCTTCAACCCATTCCAGTTCTTACTGTTGGATGTTTCAGCCCAGCCAAGGCTCATCCATACCCAGATACAGGTTATACATGGCTCAGTAGGAACAGAGACGTACCTTAGTCTGTCCTACATTTACCCTGGTCCTCGAGAGCACCAGATGGTGCTGTAGTCTAACCTGGCATGGTGTGCCTAGCCCCAGTCCACACTTGTTCCAAGGGATACTGCAGTGATATCCAGACCAGAACGCAGCCGCCACTCTGGCCCTCATACTTACCAGTGGGAGCCCCAACCCAGCAAGGGTGTCCTCTGAGCTTCCCAAACAGGTCTGTTCCAAGCCATAGATCACACTCATGCCAGTGTGTGCTCTGACCCAGCTTAGCATAGCTCCTCACCTGTCTTGGCCTTTGCCTTAGATGCCATGGCCTAGCATCTCTGGCTCATACAGACCAGCAGGTGTTGCAGCGTAGCTCAACATGACCTGTGCTCCATCCTGATTTCTGTTCTTGCTGATGAGTTAAGATTTGCTCAGCCCTGTCTGGCATGCCCCCTCCCATAACCAGCTGACACATCAGCCAGCCATTGGAGCTACTTTGCCCAGACTGCCTGACACCCAGGCCTGGATCATGTGATCATCAGTGACAGTTGTGACCCACTAGGCGAGTTTCCCACGTTCTCTTAGTTGACCCACAACCACACCCAGATCTCATACATGCCAGCAGGTGTTAGGCCAGTTAGACCAGGCCTAACACCTGCTGGTCTGCCCTTCCATTTTGACCTTACTTGAGTTGGTGAACGTTATTACCCAGCCACTCCACACCCTGTTTTTGGATGCACATTTAGGTGCTGCTGCCTTGACCAGTGCCGGAGACCAGCTCCAGCTGACTGAGAGCTTGCAAAGGATGCGTGGATCAGTGAGATGATAGGAAGAGATAAGATACGGACCACTATGACTTGATGCTCATAATGGACAACTCAGAAAAGTTGCCTTCTTTATTTATACATAAATCATCACAAGTTTTTTCACAACATCCAATTGTTTCATTTTTCATTACATCATGGTTATGAAAATGCAAGAAGCAATCCTAAAAAATATTTTTCTATTTCAAAGAAAACATTCTTAACAAACCATTACTCATTGAAACCTGCAATCACCTGGCTGAAGCCAGGAACTCCACGGTTGGCAGCGCATGCAGTTACATAGTAACAAGTAGTTTACTTATACTCAAAATCAACTTTTACTCAACACAAACTAATATTGATTAAAATATTAAGAATACAGAATTAAAAGATCATAAGTAAAAGGATTTTATAAAAGCATATAACATAGATTCTTTGCTAAATTTTATAATCAAATCATGCATTAATTACGGTCACCGTCACCTAGTGCTGATTCAATTGTTTTTTATTCTTTTGTTAAAGGGCAGTGAAAGGGATCAAGGCAATTCAGCTAATCTACAAACAGAGGGCCTCTTACAAGAAACTTCCTTTAAACTATTTTCTTTCCCTAAATATGAATGCCAATATAAGATAGAAATTTTTATAAACTGTTTTCTTTCCCTAAATATAAGTGCCAATATAAGATTGAGATCTTAAGCCAATTTGATGGGGTTCACATTTATTTCCTTATAAAAGATGCCCCATATACTTTTGCTTTCTGTGGTAAGAAACTAAAATGCGTCATATCATGTGTTGTAACAGTTCGAGGTGCATGGTAAACAAACTCTTTGTATCTCCATGATTGCCATCTGTTGCAAGATATTATCAAGCCATTTCTTAAGGAAAACATTACTTATACTAGGGCAAATTTCAGGGCAAAAGTGGGCACATAACAGGATGTTTGGAAACATAGTGGGCTCAATTGTATTATTGTATACTTTTAACTGTGTATCATAGCCTTACGTTACTACAGGTGTTTTTATCATAACATGATAGATCAATTTGAGGTGTCATACCAGTTACAGGAATCACTTCACATTAGCAGAAAAGCAACAACAACACCCTCAGAAGAATTCTATGAAACATCAGAGAGGTGATTGAGTTCCATACAATGGGTGAGGCAGCAATGAGGTGACCAGAGACATTCTGCCGGGCCTTGCCACGCAGCCAGAAACGCCTCGCAGCCTTGCTAACTGAGGAGCGGTGCTCATCACACACCCTTGCCATCTGACCCAACTGCACGGCTCCCCACAGACCAGCCCAGACTGTTTTGGTTCCTTTACCTGTGAGTGATGGCAGGTTCCATGGTCACACCTAGCTCAGCCCATCACCACCCCAACTCTTGAGCTAATCAGCGGGACTAGTATTTCCACATAGTTGGCCTACACATCTCCCACAGAATCTACCCCTGGATCTATTTCTCTGGTGTGCTGCTTAGTGTCATGTCCCTGCCTAATGTGACCCATCCTCTGTTCCAACATTTTGTCAGGTACTAGGATCTAGCCCTGCCTGACAGGCTCCTAACCATAGCTTTCATGTGGACTGGCATGTGGCAGTCAGTAATGCTCTATGCAACCAGCCTATCTTAGGATTTGCATGTTGGCTGGTGGATCAGTCTGGCCCAAATAGATCTTAGGGACTTTCCCCTCCTGACCTCCAGCTCTCTGTCCCCACACTTGCCAGTAAGTTCTGTTACCCCATTTTTGGGTGTATCTCAGGATTGAGTCCTCACCTGCACTCAAATTGTCCTTATCCATGGATGTCCCTAGGCAGCAATTAGATACCCTAAAAACCCTAGAGCTTGCTACCAGGTGTCTAGAGCAGGCTGAGCCTGGCTCAGTAGGCACATTGCCTGCCCAAATCCTAGGACTCAGTCACCTTGTGTTGATGGTTTCCTTGGGCTGAGTCCCAAGCATTGGGTCTGGCTTGGCTTGGGCACACTTTGCAGTCACCACACTGCAGAGGGCTGCTTTTACCCCAGCCCCCTGGCTGAACACTGTACTTATCCTGAGGGAATGCCTAGGACTCACTCACTCACTGTGTAGCATCAGTGACCATTTCCTGACTCCCAAGCATTGGGTCTGGCCTGGCTCAGGCACCCCTCACAGCAGCCACACTCTAGAGGGCTCCTTTCACCCCAGCCCCAAGGGCGAACAATAACATTTTCTGATTTCATTTGATTATGTTGGTACCACCTGGATAATCTAGTGAATTCTCCTAACTTCAAGTTCTTACCTTCTATCCCACCTGTAAAGCTCTTTTTCCTTGTAATAGTCATGGGTTTTAGGATTTGGAGAGGATAGAATAAGTAGTCAGCCTCTGTTTTCCACTTAGTCTGTGTCACCCTCACCATCATGTATTCTATGCAACCTAGAAGTTTAGCTTAAGCAGTACTCTGCAAGTGAATCAAGGCACTTGAAATTTTGAGATCCCAAATCTCAAAATCTTTATTCTCAGGTAAATCAGGCTTTCAGGATGGTTTTGTGGCTAGGAAACTGATCAGTTCAATTTCATAGTGAAACTTGTGTAATGCCTTTTCTATTGAGGTCAGAGTCCAGTTTCTCAATCCTGGGAAGTTAGCCTTATGTTTGTTCTTTGCAGGAAGGAGGCTGCATGCAGTATGTATGTAAGAAGCTCTCCATTAGCTGAATGTATTCTAGCACATTTCCACTGTACTACTAACATCACTGTTTTAGGAGCAGGTGCTGAGCCGATGTGTGAAATCTGTGCAGACACTGATATAAATGTGTGTTCTCTCTTAGACTGGCGAAAGGAAGAGTTCCAGGCCTGTAAGTGAACTTTTGCTCTTCCTGGTGCTTTTCCCATGTTTCCATTGCCCTGGCCTCTCTTTCAGTTCCCTGTGGTGATGTAGATATTTATATAATTAATGATGCTGGGGTGGGGAATGTAAGGAACAAAGCTGGGTCTGTTCCTAAGTTCTCTGTTATTGTCCTTGTGATTGGAGGCCATGGACCTGAGTCCCAGGGCCTTTATTTCAGGGGCATATTCTCTCTCCCATGCAACTAGGAGCCTGAGGATGGTTGTGCATCCTGGGCAAGGGATGCCTTGCATGACTCAGAATTCTCTCTACAGGGTCTGTCACTCTGGATCCAAGTTCTGCCAATGCTGACCTTGCCATCTCTTTTGCAAAGACAAGCGTGACCTGGAAATACAAAAATTTGGATTTATGGGGGAAATACAGTATTTTGGGCCTTGAGGGCATCATGTCAGGAAGATGCTACTGGGAGGTGGAGATCAGGGCTGAACAGTGTAGGAACTGGGCTCTGGGGGTTTGTATAGAGAATGTGGGAAGGACAGGCAATTATAGAGAGTCTCCACAGGAGGGATTCTGGGTTGTGGAGTGGTTTCTTGGTTCATGCATTGTCTTTACTGAGAACTCAATGCTTTTATCCCTTAGACAGGATCCTTGCAGGGTTGGGATCTTTCTGGATTACAGTGAAGGGGATGTCTCCTTCTACAATATGACTGATGGGTCCCATATTTTCTCCTTCTCCTCAGCTTCATTTTCTGGACCCCTCTTCCCATACTTCAGAGTTAGGACAGGAGAAGTGACCCTGAGCATCTGCTCCCCATTGGGTGGGTCTGAGGAGCTCCCTGTGGCCCTGAGTGATTCTCCTCTTTTGGAGGAGACTGGGAGGCTCTCAGGGGAAGTATGCAGTTTAGTCTGTGGTGCTGAGAGTGCTGCCCCATGGATTGAGTCTCCATTACTTCCCTACCCGCCATAGGGCTCCTCCCTACTATGACTCCTCAGTGGAACCTTCCTGGGGCTGCAGCCTCCCTGTGACAAAAGATCTTAGATGAGTCCCTGATGACCTTGGGACTTTCTCCTCCCGAACCTCTGAGGACTGGTAGGTCATGGCTTGTGTCCAGAGCAGGAAGATGAACACTGGCTGTTGTTTAGTAACTTCTGTATATTCATAGAATATTTCTTTTCCCTTCCATTGTTTTAGAATAGGTTGTATTATACTATGAATGAATTGTTTTTGTATTAAAATTATTTAATGTGTTTTAAATTTTCTTTGGATGTGAATGTTTCCAAAGACAGGAAGATAAATGTTGACTTTTATTTGAACTGGTTCAGGACATATTTTACTATGTTAAATTTTGTTTTTAGTTTAAAAATTGTTCTGTGTGTTTTCAATTTTTTTTGGAAATGAAGTGAACTCATGTCTGAGTTGCTGTTTCCAGAGAGAGAAAGAGAACTATATCTTCCATCCACCGATACACTCACTTTCCAGACTGCCACAATGTTCAGTGCTGTGCCAGGCCATACCTAGATGCCAGGAATTCTTCCAAGTCTCCTACATGGGTGACAGGAGCTCAAACACTTGAATCTTCTTTTGCTTCTTTGGCTAGGCTTTTATTGGGGAGCTGGATCTGAAATGGAGTTGCTGGCACATGAACTGGTGCCCATATGGGATGCTGGCATGGTAGATGGTGGCTTAACATGCTTTCTAAAATGCCAACTCCTATGTCATAGTTGTTTATATTAAATATTCACTGATTAAATGAAAGATGGTTTCTTTGTTGTGATAAACTCCAATTTAAACATCTAAGTCACAGCATGGTTCAGCATAGTTCAGAGAAAGGGTTGTTCTGGTGCTTAAACAGTTAGTAAAATGTTTTATGTCAACAATAAGGTCATATAAAAAGCTCTTTTTGGTCTTTGCTTGGATTTGAAGTAACTTCTATATATTCATAGAATATTTCTTTTCCCTTCCATTGGCCTTATTTTAAGGCATTCACTACTTTTAGATTATCTATGCACACACACTCTTGGTAAGAGACAGTAAATAAAGACATGCAGATGATGTGATTTTTCCTGACCAAGAACAGGAGGAGTGATATCTTTAGCCAAGTGTACCACTGCCTCAATAGTTCCAGAAACAATGAGTAAAACCATCATTACTGCATCCTTTGTCAGGTAGATTTATGTGTTACCTACATATTGATTTTCAATGTATTTATTTTGGGAATTATACTGATCAAAGATGCAGGGTGACTTTCTGAGTTTCCCAAGGTCTACAGTTGTTTTGCCCATAAGATGTCAACTCCAACCAAAATGCCCATCAGCAGAAGACTGGATAAGAAAGCTATGGTTCATCTACTCCATGGAATACTACTCAGCTATTAAAAAAATAAAATGTAGTTCTTTGTCGCTAAATGGGCCCAACTAGAAACCATAATGCTAAGGGAAATGAGCCAATCCCATAAGGTTAGATACCACATGTTTGCCTTAATTTAAGATGAAATGATGTCAGTATGAAAAATGCTATCTGTAAAATGTAATTTTTTTTTTTTAACATATTGGTTACTCAATACTATGTCCACTAATTCCATGACGTTGTGGATTGTTGTGGATGTTATGTTGGGGCTTTTGATTGGTCAGGGTCAGGATGACACTCTGCCAGCTCTACCTTCAGACCAGAGATGGTCTCCACAAGAAGCTGTTGAACTTATCTGGACAATAAGATGCTGGACTCTATGCCTGGTATATGCTTGCAATGAAGGAATCTCAACTGAATTTGAACTGTGGCAAAGTAGCAAGGTGGAGGAATCCACCCTGGGGGGAAGGTTTGGGGAGGGGTAGGGGGAATCCCAGTGCCTAAAAAACTGTGTCACATAATGCAATGTAATAAAAAATAAATAAATAAAATGAAATTAAAAAGAAGAAGAAGAAAAAAAGATGTCAACTCCTTTTCCCTCTTACTCAGCTTATTTATTTCAACTACTGTTGATGGACAATGAATGACCCCTTTTTCTAAATGGTCTCTCAGCAGCTCTACAATTGTATCAATTTCTTCATTGATTAATTAATGCAATAAATTCTTTAATTTCCATTTTTTGCCTGGATTCATATTTGTGAACTTATTAAAAATTATGCATGGTTTCTTACCTTAAACTACCATAGTAAATTTTATGTACCAGTGGATTTGCTTTTCCAATGGTCCCAATAGAAGAGAAGCTTATGGGGCAAGAACCATTCCTTGTTTTGAGATGCATTGTAAACTAGAAGCTTCTGTGTCACTTGGTAAATGAACAAAATGGCACACCAGTTAAGGGATGTGTTGTTTCCAAAATCTAAATGTTTACAAGGACTTTTTGGTTATACAAGGGGCTATATGCAACCACCTCAAACATATAGCTCAAATCCCTACAGCAATGGATACATTGAAATTTCATTGCAGTATAAGGCTTCTGAATTTTTGTTGTATTTATTGCTTGCCTTTTCTTGCATGAATGTCTCACTAGTAGTCTTGAGTAATTTCTTCCTCTTACCTATTAGGTGTAAGCAGCATAATATCTTCAATGGACTGGGTGATTGTGAATCTTAGGGCAATGAAAAGATGGAGATCCATGAGAGCTTAAGTATGACACAGAAGCACATATCCCTGAAATGACATTGGAGGTGTTCTGCTGTCTTTTCCATCTGAAAGTACACTGATACTGGTGGATTGTAACAGGGATATATAGATAGGAATCAGTTCCCTGGATCTTTAATTGCAACTGAGGGTCTGGAGATGTGTTGTTTATGTCCAAAAAGGAACCATTATCTATCACAGTAGCTGCAGATGATATCAAAGTGACTCCAGCATTATATATCTGGAACACAGACCAGATGGTTGAATAGAAATGATGGGAGAGTCACTACGCATCATCTTTCTAGAACTTGACATTGGTAACCATTTTGCAATTCTGTGGATGTCACATCAATTTTTCTTATGTTTTCTTTTAAATTTTATAATACAAATCCATAGGCTCTGGGATTTCTCTCACCCACTTATGCTTTGCTATTATTTTTCTAGTTTCTTCAACTGTAAGGTTAGCTCATTTACTTGGTACTTTTCTAATTCTTTTAAATAATTGTCATTTTATGATACAATTCCTTAGGTTCTGGGATTCCATTATCCCCTCCCCAATACCCTCCCCCCTCACTCAATTCCCTTATATTATTACTATAGTATAGCTCTTCATAAACAGTCATATGTCCATCATTGTGGGCATGGACAATGGCAGAGTCAGCATCCTATTGTCAAGATACCGTAAACAGTTTCATTGGGAGTCCATCTTTAGTCTAGAAATAGAAATGCATACTGCATTATATCCTCACATCTGGATATGATAGTTTCCATGACACAGTTACTACACATCCCCTTAAATGAAAAGTCACAATACAAAATCAACAACAGGAAGAAAAAGAAATTAACAACACAGTGAAGCTAAATAGCATGCTACTGAATGACTAATGTGTTGCTGAAGAAATGAAAAAGAAAATAAAAAATCTTCTTGAAGAAAATGTAGCTACTGTATGATCTGTGAGTCATTGAAGAATTTAATGAGAAGAAAGTGTTTTGAAGACATGAAACTAAAAAAATAATCAAAGTCCATGAGATAGTTTCTGCTGATCTTTGTTGATGAGATAACAAATGTGTTTTTTTTAGTGTATTCTTTTTTTCCCATAATTTATTTTTTAAAATGATTTTACATAGTTGATTAGGGTACAAAGGGTCAAGGGCTACTGGAAAGTAGGTAATACCATTGTTTCCACGCTAATATAATTTTTTCCCCTGTATCTGGGGTCAGGAAGGAAACAAAGGGAAAAGCCCTATCCAGCCTCCCTCCCATCCCAGGTCCCCGATGTGAGGCATGCTCTGAGGGTCCTGCTCAAGGAGTTTTGGAAGTTCAACAGTTCTGAATTGCTGCCAATCTCGCTGTTCCGATTGTTTTTTTTTTTATTAATAAAATTTATTTTGACATTCTTTACATAGTTAGAGTAAGAAGGTTCAAGGGCTACAGGAAAGTGGATAATACTAGTATGTTTTCCATATTGTTACCTTCATGTTTAAAGGGGGGTATTAAGGGAGAAGGCCCACCCAATTTCCCACCCTCCCCAGGTCCCGGATATAGGGCATGCTCTGAGGTTCTTGCTCAAGTGGTTTTGATATTGCCACAGTTATGAATCGCTGTCAATCTTGCCATTCCAAGCACTATGAGGTCTTTGAAAAATCCACTGATTGACATAGTCCATCATAGCTGAGATGGTTGGTTGACCCGTTCTGTCTTCTCTCTTTTCTTCGTTAGGGTTCTGAGTCCAGCATTTAGATTAGGAAGATCTCCAAAGAAACTTCTTGTATGTGCTAACAAGTACAGGGCCTGGCACCGTCCATCGCTCCAATCAGCTGGTGGTTGTAGTTGCTGGGTTGGTTCTGTTTTCACTCCCGACTTCCACTGGAACCAATGGGTGTTGCAGTCCAGCCTGGTTCTGCCCAGCACATACTTGGCCCTCACATAAACCAGTGGGAGCTGCAGCCTAGTTGGAGCGACCCACAATAACCCCTACCAGGCCCGCCCCCTACCCTGGTTTGCCAGTAAGTGTAGCAGTAATCCAGTCTGTCCCACACCCCATTCCACCCCAGCAGCTGTCTTAGTTTTATGTCCTCCTGTGGAAGTGGTGACCCAAGAGGGATGAGCCCACTATTTCCCTCCCAGGCCTCTCCGACTCCCAGATTCCAGTTGATGCTGCCCAAACAAACCTCGCCCACTTTAATTTTGTTTGCACCAGTAGGAATAATCAGTCCAGCCCGGCTTTTCCCTGATCTAGTCCACATGAGGCGCACAGGTGTGGTAGCTCTGCCTAGTCTGGTCTGCCCCCATCCCAGCCGATGCTCTCCTGCAGAAGTAGCTGTCCTGCAAAGGAACCCTCCCTTATTCCCCTGTTGGCTCT